TGTGAAAAAAATGGCGGACGACGGCGGGCGACTTTCTTTCTTTCTTTTTGCATCAAAATTGCCTTTTTAGTGACCTTAGATGAATCATAAACTATGTGTTCTTTGAGGAGAAAGGGTGCATGTGTGTCAAAAGGTCAACTGGACGCAAAAAAATTAGAAAAAGGTAGGTAAAACCAGCAACGGAATGTGTACTGCTTTCGCTGAATGAAAACATTTACATCTTCGTCGATTCACTGATTTGAAGTAAAGCTTTATGTTACGTTTCCTTTCAGAATTGGTATGGAAATGATATCAAGATGAGATTTTTGAAAAACTGCAGGAATATACTTGCTGAAAGACTTTGTTTTGACACTTTAAATGATGTTTGATTAGCCGCTTCGACGTGCCGGCACTTCAGCATCACCGACGAAAAAATTCACAAAGCCACAAATAACACATGAAAGCATTGGTCGTATGAACTCCGTTTCATGGATAAGAAGGTGGAATTCATGTTCATAGAGATTTTTTATTGAACTGGTATCTGGTAACAATATCAAACTGAAGATAATTTTATGCGAGCGATGCAAGAACTGCAATGACAACAAACCGTACGAAAATATTCCCAAAGCTACAAATAAAGACCTTGGTCGGATAAATTACGTTTAATAAATAAGCTGGTATTCATATTTTTAGGTTAAACTAGTAGCTTGTTTATCGTGTACTTGTATGTAACGATTTATAAAGAGACTCATTATGAACAATCGTTGAACTGAAAGAAATCTCGATTCTCAAGCGCAAATCGACATATATTCTTCTAGTACTTTTCTTAAGTAGTATCTCAATAAAATGCAAAATACTTACTAAATTCCTCAATTTTTAGCTTCATAGAAAAATGTAACTTGCTTTTCACACGTTGTTTACAATAATAAAGATGCAGTTAAGCTTATGCCTTATTACGTTTTTGATTTTTCACTTCCAGTTTCAAGTTGCTTTGTTTATCTATAGTTTATACCGAAGATTCTATGCACTCAAAAACTACAAAAAATAGTAAAACTTCATGCAGAATACTCATAACTAGTTGTTGCCAAGTTTTCGGATACATTTTTGTATAAATAGCTGATTTTTTTCCTATTCTACTTCTAGTTTTGAATCGCACTTGACAAAAAATGGTGACGTCAAAACCATGTTTACATACTCTGATACAAACACGGCAGTCGGCCAATCAGAACGCGCGTAGTATCCAAGTTATTTTATAAT